CATATGATTACGAGAGATGCCGTAGTGGAGGGATCCGGAAATTTCGACCTCCTGGGGTTCTTTAACGTGCTCCCAAATCTCAGCACACGGGCCTACAGCATTTTCCCCTCCATCGAAAATGCAGACGCCGTGGCGGTGATTCGATCCCGCGACCATGCGACTCAGCAGTCGAGTACCTTAGGCACTAGACTACTGCGGCGGGGCAACAAAAGAAAGTCCAGGTAGCTCTTATGCATTCACGATTAATTGGGCACACGGAAATTTCAATCTGTCGTTGCCTTGCGTCGAATCAAATGCCAAGTCTTTAAGCTCCTAGAAAACATACTGGTAAGTGAGACAGTGCACCGTAAAAAAGTAATTAGAGTATGTCTTCAGCCCTTTATGCGACAGTGGGACACATAAGGAGACGCATATGCATGTTTACAAGGCAGAAAAGTGTGGTTTTTGTGGCGTTCGCGCTTTGAGTGAGTCCTTAATGGGACCAGATATTTCACAGTAACTGCAATGGCCAAGGCATGTTGAGTGCCGCGGTGCAGATGAATAACTGTTAAGAACTCAGACATAACAATCCCCAAGCTATCCACAAAAAAAAGAAGAAAAAAAGAAAACTTCGGGATACCTGGCTATGCAACATTTGTGCGTGCAGAAGTTGCTGGAAAACATGCTAAGCAGAACGACGTCGTATTAACTTGGCGATGGCGCACTGCCGTGCCGGAAAAAAGTGCGTCAAGACGCAAAAGTGGCAGACGCTTATTAATTTCACGAACTCCCTATGCAAACAGTAAGAAAACCTCGCACTGCCTCCAAATGCGCGCCAGCAGAAAGAAAAAGCGCTTGCAAACGCTGCAACAAAAATGCGACAACTTAGAAAAAATACTAGGTTGGTACAACGAGAACCGAGTGGTTCAATATATATTTAGGCGTGAAAACACAGCATTATATAGAAGGTAACAAGTCTGCTGGATTTCTTGCAGAGGTAGTCACAAATTTCTCAATAGGACAAACATTTTTGTCTCAAGTTCGTCCCTTTTGAAATAGGCGGTTTGCGCCTATCAATTTTATGATTTTTAGTAGTTTTATCTCAATAAGACTTCAATTTGGAGTGCAGCGCTTTGCGTCTTCTCTTCTTTTCTTGTTCTTGTTTTTATCTGCACTGTTCCTTCATAGCGCCAATAAGCGCCAACTCGCTAAACTTCGCAATTCGGAATCATATGAAGACAGGGCATTTGCACTTTCTTTGTTTCAGTTTTATAGTACACTCGAAATAGCTCGTTCTTTATTATTGCGTCATTAAAAATGAGACTTATTAGTGAAATGGTAGGTATAAATACACCATATTTAGTCAATATATATATGTGGCGGATAATACGGCACCCTGGTTTGATTTGAGAAACAGAGAGTAATCATGCATCTCTAAAAAATAATTGAAAAGGCCCCACACATAGAAAATCGCCCAACCCGGTAAAAAAAAAAAAAAGACAGAAAACTCAAATGGCCGAGAACGACAACAAACAGCAGTAGACCACGTTTTTTCTAAGCAGGCAAATAAAAAAAACACGCGATTGTTTAATAATTTTTTTGCAGTCATTCATTCATCCTAACGCTCTGCCGCACGTTTGAGTGTGTGTTTTCACGGGAGCATAACGGAAACTAACGCAGAACTATTGCACTCTCACCGGTGCAAAAAAGCGTTTCGGCAGGCCGCGCCTTTTTTTTTTTTATTCAGTGGTCATGCCTCAATATACTGCTGTCAATAAGTTGGTATGGATCACTTGGCGTCTCTTTGTTTTCACTTCTTGGGGTTTTGTTTGCAGCCTGTCGTGACGCTGCATTCTGCGTGTTTCACTGTCTTGTATTTCGCGTTGTTTTGTCATTGTTAGCAAGTAACCCCCACTCTACGCGACATCCTCGAAAACCAAAGAGGAGAACAACAAAAATGCAGTCATCTCCGTCCGGATCTTAGCCGAGAACAGGTGCGAGATTGGCGTCAAGTATACAGACGAACACGTAACATCACTTACAAAGAAACCACCACATGAATCCCACAATACACGTGTGCAGCTGTTCATGGTATGGCGGACGTGCGCCTCTCGTGTACAAACCTCAATTCTCCCATTTTGGGGACAACTGAGGCCGTGGGAGACCTCTCTTGCTAGCAAAGATCGGGGAGCCCAGCTAGCTTCGCTCGACCAAGCCCAGCGAGCCACAAAGGCCAGTGGAGCCCTGGACTGAGGAACCCACCCACTTTTCCAAAAACTTTTTAGCGAAAAAAAATTTTTTTAAATCATCACCAATTAGCACATCCCAAGAACCTTTTCTAGAATAAGTTCAATAAACGGCGGATCTTTCGTGACCTTCGCCAACTGACCGGCTTCCCGAGGACATAGAGTTTGAAGTTAGTAAAAAAAATCTACGTTACAGAGAAACCTTTCCAACGTAAAATTGCGTCCGTAAAAGCTGCCCGTCTCCTTTTACGTCATACTTCCTGCACTGCTTTTCTCGACAATTGAATACAAATGTCTCTCGGTGACCCATTCGTTGATTTCGAAGGCGTAGAAGTGGCGCCGTAATGAAAACACCCACTCAAACTTTATTTTGATGTAGGACGCAGCAAAATAAGTGCTCCTTTAATTTCTAAGGGCCAAGCTCCTCTTTTTCTAACCTCGTCCAGAGTCAGGATTAACCGGCAGTATCTCCCAAACAGTATAATAAATGGCGCTTTATCATCACCCTTTCTCGTCTCATTTCCTAAATGGCGTTGGTCCTACAGAAGTGTGTGCAATAGGACGGACGGATGCATGGACGGACAGAAGCATGGCCGGACGGATGCATGGATGGACGGGTGCATGGACGAAAGCACAGATGGAAGCGTGGATGGACGCACGCACGCCCGGACAGACGGACGCACAGACAGACGGACGCACAGACAGGTGACGGATGGACGTATGGACGGACGCTTCGCCCCATTCATCATCATTGACTCCCTGGATACGCTTCGATTTTTCTCATTTTTTTCGCCACCACGTGAGAAGACTCGTACGAGTGTGTTCTCGATAGTACGCCTCCTTGCCAGGGAAGCCCAATCTCGGGGCGCACACACGGCGTGTTTGTTTCGGAACGGCCTTGAAACGGTCCTGTCGTATAACGCGGCGCGTGTGCCGTCCTATTTCCCGCCAAGTGCGAACAGCGTCCGTAACGAGCTACATAGAAACAACCGCGCTCGTAAAAGCCACGCACCGTGCCCTGGGCAGCGTCGCGGGCCAATTGGTCCGAGGGCTGTACGCATCGTCACGCCACCGTGGTCCCGTGACGACGTGATCACGTGAAAACGTGCGTGTTCTAGCGGCAGCGATGGAAACGCGGAACCGAGGTTTACAAGCCTCTATAAGCCATACGGCGGAAGGCGCTCCGTCACGGACGCAACGGGTTAGCGTGCATAGTTACGAGAGCGCAGCAGGATCGTTGCGTTTGTAGCTCATCAAAACGGCGTGGCGTAAACAGAGCGAGAGATAACGCCAACGGGCTATAGGGAGTTGCCTAGAAACATGAGAGGGGGGTAGGGAGGTTAACCAAACCTTAATAAATGGTTTGCTTCTCTGTTATCGCAGGTGAGTAAAAAAAAATGGTAAAAGCGAAAAAAGGAATTCAAACGTCTTTTTGAGGCGTGAATGATCGTTTTTCTTAATAAGCAGTGGGCGATCATTTAAATAAAGGTAAACCCTTCTTTGAAATTTCTTGCCTTGCGTGTATTTTTTTCTGCTCGTCTAAATTATGCAAAATTTTCGCCGTTATAAGCTCTCCTTATCGTTAATCGTGATGCTAACTGATATCGCCATCAAATATGCTTTAATAAACTAAAGAATGAGGCTGAAATTGATTGCAATACATTTTTTGTTCTCTTCCTCTAGCGAAGGTGGGCCAATCAGGCACTCCTTGGGACCATACTCTCGATCAACGACTTATTAGTATGACACGATCGGCCCGTGTCGATCAGCTATGTCGGCGAAAACGATTGTGACAAAAGCAATGCTACGTCATCTACATTAATCCCTTTTACACTGCCAGGTTCTCGAAGCCATGGACAAACAGCCCAAAAAGGAAGTGAGGCGTTGCATTGGAAGCTATGTCATTCAAACTGAAAGTACTTGCACCTTCTGTACATCTAAGTTACTGCCGGGGCGTCACTCGTTAAATAGAGCAAATTCATGAAGAAACGAAGTGACGTCAGATTCAACTGACGCTGTATTGTAACATTAGCTGCAAAATTCTCTTTCTGAGACAATGGAAAAGTCATAATAACAGCACTCGAGAAACGGCTGTCCTTGAGGCACTATGTTTGATACAGAAGGGGCTGAGATCAAGTCGACACTTATAATGCGTGCAATAGTCTGGCCGCGTTGTTCTGACCACCTGTCTTTCTTTTCTATGGTGGGAGCCTTTAATGCTTCATGAAACGCCGTAAGTGATCGTTGGTGGTGTCAACGCGAGTGGCTAAAAAATTACGATTAAGGGATGACGCCACCCCAATTACTTCACTAAAACAAAACTAATGGCAAAAAATAAAAAGCGAGGATGCTGTCACTTCACATATTATGACGTCAAATGATGACGCCATCATCGCTTGGTGAAAAGCGGGCCGATCCCTGAGGCGATACAAGACCGCGTCAGGTTTAGAAAGCTTTGCAAAATTTCCGATTTTCGAGGCTGTGCAAAGCCACGTTACACGCAGAAAGCTTTCGACAGCCCGGGCGAGGAGAGGAGGTTGTTATCACTAAAGTTAACTAAGAAGGAAAATATGCCTTTCGCGTTTCAGTCGTCTTAGGCAAATGTGAGAATGTTTTGCCCTTGACCTATTGTCTGTTGTATCTGCGTACATTGACAACCCTGCCGAAAGAAGCCCGTACAGCGGTAAACTAAGAGGGAATGCTCGCTAACTTCATTTATTGGTTAAGAGTGAAGAAGTTCGCCTAACCTGATTTGTTTTTACTATTTCCTTACAGGAGACGTCCCGATCAAACGATGCCTGCCCAACGATCCCCTGGATCACCGTTGCTCATCACCATCGCGAATGGCCATCAAGACATTATACAGTGAGGCGAAAAACAAAACACCACGTAAAGGATCGCCACTGGTTTCAGTTCAACGCCTATTAATAGCATCGAGAGGACAGCATAACACCAAAAGTTATGGCATCCAGGGGCACGGTTTGCTTGCTGCGATCAGATCCGAATGCGCCAAGATGTCGGCCTATTAATAGACGAGGACGCGAATGTAAGACCTCCCGAACGAACGACGCAAAAGCGCGGTACAGATACGAATGTGAGGTATATTTTACGTGATAAAAAGTATTGCGGGAGTACCTCGTAGCAAAGACCAGGTTTTGTAAAGTAAATATGTAAGAGAGATTTACGAAAGTTGATGTTAGTATGAGAATACTTGGTTTTTTTTTTTTTTTTGAGAGCACATAACAACGCGGGTGCCAGGCTTTACTTTTGTAGTGATATTTTTTGCATGAAGTGGGCATTATTGGTAGAACGGCATTCGTTATTCTCCCTTTAGCAAGTACTATAAACGTTGCAGATTGCGTTTTATGAACTAAAAACAAAATAAACAGGCTGTCCTTGAATTGATCGCAAGTAGCTACGATCTGACGAGAAATAACTTGGATAACTGTAAAGTTATACAACTCTTTAAAACAGCCAAGAAATCTGTCGTTAGCTAATAAAATAAATGCATGCCAACTGGGAAGACACTGCACTTATAATATATAAAAAAACTATTGGCCAAATTGTTAACGTTGGTGATATGCAGAACTAAGAAAAAAAATCGGACTGACAATACTCATCGCAAAGAAATTATAGCAATTGCAACATGGTACGCTAAGAGATGACAAAGTTTACTTGTTTTCATGAGACTGTGCTAGTTTTTTAACGGAAAGCAGATGCAATAGAGTTTTAAAGTGTGGCAGCTTGGGCTAGTTGGTATGGCATGACGATAGTTATAGCGCGAGAACAAAACGACGACACAGAGACAAGAAGGACACGAAAGACACAGTTTTAAAGCCGCGAATATTACGGCGGTCACTCAATTGTCCTTACTTAATATCCATTGAGTTCGGAAATGAATGGAGTGCGGGACAGGAGAAGACGACAGCCATAATAAATGTACACGCGTCAAAAACAAAAAAAAAAGGGGGGGGGGGGCAGTGAGACTGAAAAGCGAAACAAGCCCACATCAGGTCTGAACCTCATTGAAAGTCTTTTAGTTAGGTTAGTGTTCATACTTCGCAAGATACATGTTTGCAGCAATACTGAGGAACCCCGACATTTCAAGCCTTCTCCGGGCCATGGCACCCGCAGTTCCACTGATCTCAACTACAACAATGATTTTCCCCCGAATTAAGATTCGTTATGATTATATATATATATATATATATATATATATATATATATATATATATATATATATATATAGTATCAAGTTGTTGACAAAAAAGAAGGCCTCTTTCACTCTTTCACCACGAATCAAGGAAGAGAGAGGGGAGGGGACGGTCAGTTGTGGTGCGTCATTGTCTTTTGTGTCCGTGCACCTACTTGTTCGTGGTTTTATGTGTATATTGGTGTCTTTGTATAGCAAGCGAACCAATGACGTGGCGCTTAGCCTTAGAAGGCGGAGTCCACGATGACGACTACTAACAACACGTGAACTTCATGATGACTTGACCAAGTTCTTCGTGAGAAAACTGTGAAGATCAGGAAGAGGGGAAAAAAAGAAGCAAGCAGCGTGGAAGCATGACATTCGCAACTCTGTGTTTGTGTGTGTGCTCATGCGGCGTCTTCGGCTTGTTGTGTTGACAGGAGAATGTGAACAATGACAAGTTCGCTTGACGGATATCACTCAGTGCTGTGCAATAGCTTTGAGACAAAGTGGACGTCTCCTCGTCTACGAGTGAAGTGCCCTCTTTGCCCCCCCCCCCCCCCCACCCCGCCGCGTGAATCGATGTTGCGCAGGGGAGTAGGGGGAGAGAAAGAGGGACAGGGAAGAGGAAATGAACGTAGTGACATCGACCCTCGTGTTCCGTTTCGGAATAATCATAATCGTCTTCTTTTTTTCTGTTCTCGTTGTTACTCGAGTAAGATGCATTACTTCGTCCGCGAGAGATATATAAAGTGTGCGTCACGTCATGTTATTGATGCGAGACTATCGAGGAGGGTGAAGGAAGGGGGAGGGTTTTAATTCGTCAAAGAGTTCACAGCTAGTTTGAACGAAAAACCGAGAACTAGAAACAGATACTGCAAAAAGAGAGGATTAATAGGTCTTTGAAGTTCTTTAATGTAATCTCTCTCTCTTTGAGCAAAAACAAAAAAGGAGGAAAGTTGAGGAACAAGAAAGTTCGGGTGGGGCACCTAATTAAACATGGAAGGTGTCTACTTCGCTGGCGAAGTGTCGCTGGTTCAAGAAAAACGGAATGGGGAGAAAGGAAGCTGACGATCCTAAGTTGCATAACTTGCAAAGTGAGGACCCACGCTGTAGGGAGATAAGTAGATAATGAGGAATAGCGTGCGTTGGCCGTAATAAAAAAGATATTAACATGAAAATAAATACTGAAGAGGAAGGAGACAATGAGAGAGAGTGCCAATACATCGCTCTCTACTGACACTAGAAGATGAACAAAAAAGAAACATAACGAAAACTAAATGGCATGTTCTGTCCCGTCAGCCACGTAAGGTAGTTGGCTAAGGGCGCCCTCGGTGGGCGCTAATCCGCGTACCCTACGCGGGGATCGTGGGAGGGATTTTCGGCAACGACAATGGGTCATCGAGGAGCCATGGCGGGCCTCATCCATCTTGCTCTCGAAGAAACGGTGTCAAATTACGTGCGAATATTAAAATGTTTTGTTTTCCTTACGCCCGGCGCATAATGATGACTCTCCCAGTTCCTGGCTTTCGCTCTTTTTTTTTCCTTGTTATTCCTGGCATCTCTCTTTGTTACGTTTCTTTCAGTAGCGGACCTTGTTAAGTATTCACTGCACGCGAGAAAACTGGCGTGCATTTTTTGCTCCTATTCTTCGCTGCTTAGGTGCTACGCCATGCAGGAAAACACGAACCGACAGGTATATGCACGAGCAGCGCTGATAATGCCCTACAACATACTGCAATTTGTTCCCGGCCGCATAGGCGGTGAAGACGGGGCGGGGCGGTGATTCGAGTGCTCCATCACTGCTCGCTCACCGAATGGCGCGGGTTTTGAAACTCCTGCTTATCGCGTGAAAAGTACAGAAGAGGCTGCATATACTTTGGGCCGCAATCCTTTGACGTGATTGGCTCTCCTGGTAAGAACTTTATTCGTGGTCTTGTTCGATTCAAAGATACTATAGCCCATTACAACATAAAAATAAATAAAAGTTGCACCCACAGCCATGACTATCCCACCGTTAAAGGCCAACTACGGTGATTTCTCAAGGTCTATGGATCAATACGAAATTCTATGAGTACGTTTCTTTGCACATTTCCGTCATTTATTCCATACTACATGCTTGAAAGATGCGCTGAATATTTGCATATTGCCTCGAAATGCTCATCTGGCTTTCCAGAGTTATTGGCAGCACTGTCCGTATGACGGCATGTTTGGAATACCAATGGAAGCGACGCAGCGACGGCATCGCTAACTTTGGGCGCTACAGCGTTAAAGCCACAAGGCGACAGCGGTGGTGTTTGGCACAAAAAAGCTTTCTTCCTTCTTCTGTGCTGTTTTTCCGGCTCGGCTCGGCGCGCTCGGCTCTACTCCGAACGCCTACTCATGCCGGCTTTCACAGTTTTCATAACCCGCGCTGGCGGCACCAGTATACGACTTCCGGTTCATACCAAACAGTACGTCATACGAAGACAGTGCGCTCGGTTGGGTTTCAGTTTCGGTATTGCGCCTCTTTGTTTATAAAAAATGATTTTCGAATACGCTGAGTATTTCAGCTATCGGTCTGGTGACAAAAGTGCCTCAGGAACACAGAAGCACCATTACCCTGACATGGCCGATAAATCTCCAGATTGGGCCTTTAAAATGTATTCAGAACAAATGTTCGACGATTCAGAGTACGATGTACTCTGCGATGGGAGAACAATAAGCTGTCTGTGTTTAGAAAAAGAAGTGGCGATATTGGCGCACGGTGTTGGTGTCACTGGTTTTTGGTCAATAACGTGACTTTCATAGGTAACTTCAGCGAAATTTCTAGAACCACTGCTTTAAGAAGGGTAATATTCTAAATAGGTCCGATGCGCTTTTAACTGTTAATATGTGTAGTGTTTGCATTGGCAGCGAAAATTGTGGCAGCTTCGAAACAGTGGTATCAAGCTTGACGTGGCAACAAAGCTGGATGGCCTCCCCTTTTCGTTTTATTTTTTACTTTCATTTTGTTTTTTATATGTTTTGTAACTGTTGCTATCTATTTCATTCTTTTCATTTCTTTCCCGTCCTCAGTTTCTTTATCTTTCTTTCTTTCCCTTCACTTACTCTCTCCGTGCGTTTTTCTGCCAGTGTTTCTCTTTATTTCTCATTTCTTTTTGCTTCTGTCTTCTGTTTTCCTCAATCTGTTTTTCATGTATTTCTTTATCTATTCATCTCTCTCTCTCTCTCTTTTTCTCTGCATATATTTATTTATCTCTATTTTCTCTTTCTCTTTCTTTCTATCGTTTTATTTTTCTTTCTCATCTAGGGTCGACGCGTGTTAGGGTCGAGGCTTGTACGTCCATGTCAATCACGAGTAGACTCGCGGTATGAAGACACACCCACACACACACAACAAAAGGGTTTAATAATATACTAATGCAAATTGTAATAACGACAAAAGTATATACAACTCTTAGAAGCACAAAAAATCCTTTATACTAGCTGGCGACTTCAGCGTAGGCATTATGGACCTTAGGACCTAGTTCAGCCCACTCGTCATCATTCACTTCGGAGATGCGTGGATTTGTTTTCTATTTCTCTCCATTCTTTTTTCTTTGTTTCTCACTCTTAAGTCTTAACGGTCGGGTTAAACAGCTCCGCTTTAAAAGTGCTTATGGTTACAATGAAAAACCACCTCTCTCGTGCACACATAAATGACGTGTGTGCAGCAGTACTGGGGTTGGAGCTCGTACTTATTCTTAGGTCGTAACGGGCACTAGTTGCTAATACTGGAGTGCGTAATTGCGCACACTTTTACGAGCCTTCCAATGTTACAACTATGGCGACGTCACGCTTCGATCACGCGACCGTCTCTGGCTAGTCAGCAGTTGCCGACCTTTGCATCAGTTGGAGAGACGGAACCTTTGCGCACGGTACGCCAAAGAGGACAAAAAGCGTGTCACGTATATCGCGGAGTGCAGGAAAGCCTCTGCGAACCGGTAGAATCTAGAAGGGCACAGCCCAGCCAATCTGAGAGTTCAAACATGAAGCAGTTTGTAAATGCACAGTAATACTTATTGTGGATGAGATTAGCGTCAGTTGTTGCAGTGACGAATACGATAGCAACAGTAGTATTACGGATGAGGCCTTTATAATTTTGCTCTTGTGTAAAGTAAAAAAAAACATATACAAGGCAGCCACAATGGGCAACTTCATAAAAGATTTTCTCAATATAACCTTGATGAAAGGCAGTTATACTGCCTGCATTTTTTCTACTTCGACGTGCTATGTCATCAAGCTGCGGCCTACTTCGTCTTGAAAACTGAGGTAAGTGTATTTCGAACGGCATCACATGCATCATGGGCTGCGTAGTGCACCGACATCACTGATCTGCGTAACATCAGCGTACACTTGTTTTTTGAGACTATGTGAAGTACTCGGGCTTGACTGTAAGAAACAGTAAGACTGTAAGTAGACTGGACTGTAAGAAACGTAACGTAAACCAACATGAAGCTGCAAGACGTTTATTTCAGCAACTAATGCGGTAGTCTCGCATAAAAATAGAAAGCGGCAGTAGAGTAAGATTGTGATTCAAAGGGTCTTGCAGCACACTTTCAGCATGGTAAGAAAACGCGACCAACCGTTAATTGGCAATCCTGAGAACATGTGGGCCAAACACTAAAACGCAGCACGTAACCGAGAATTTACCAGTAACTCTCAAAGTCAGTTGAATATAGTTCCCTCTTTTTTTCTACAAATGATATGATATGCCCGAATTACTATGCCATACCCATATTCACATAGCGGCTGCATTTTCGATGGAGTCAAAAATGCTGTAGGCCCGTGTGCCCAAATTTTGGTGCACGTTAAAGAACCCCAGGTGGTCGAAATATCCGGAGCCCTCCTCAACGGCGTCTCTCATAATCATATGTCATATGGTAGTTTTGGGACATTAAACCCCACATATCAGTTGGCCGGCCGGCCGGCAGGTAGGTAGGTAGGTAGGTAGGTAGG